AACCCGACGAGTCGGCGGAAAACACTCCGTGCACCTTGCCTGGCAGGATCTTCGCCTCGGTGCGCAAGGCTGCTGGCCACCTCACCAAGCCGCGCCGCAGACAGCAGCCCGCGCACACACGGGGGAGGAGGCAATCATCTTGGCGGATGGGGAAAAAAAACGCGGTGGCACGCACGCGCACCGACGCAGCCGCCACACAGCCACAGCTGGCCTGGCGCAAACCTGGGCGGCCGTTGTGTCGACCCCTGGCTGCTATGAGGCCGCGCTCGAACTGCGTCTGTGCCGCATGCGCGGGTGTCGCTTTCCGCCTCCCTCTCCTCCTTTTCGTCCTCTTGCTGAGCCTGTCAAGTCGGGCACAGCACGCAATGCCTGGCACACCGTGCCCATAGGGAACCAGTTCAAGTGTTCGACTCGAACTCCTTTAGAAATTTCAGGGCAGAACCCAATGCGCATCAAGATTTTCTCTGGCGCATCTGCGCGGGCTCGACGGCTCTCGGCGGCCCGGCATCATGAGGAGGACCTCTGGAGAGACCATGGAGAATCCAAGACGGCCCGAAGCCCACTCCAAAGCGGCCCAGGACCCCGCAACGTGCCCCAGAACCCAAAGTGCGCCAATACTTCCTTCAAAGCATCGGGAGCAGGAGAAGTGCATGGAAAAGCCCGACGGGCTCGAGGGCTGTCGGCGGCATGGCGTCATGAGGAGAAGCTCCAGTGAGCCCGTGGAGGGCAAAAGAAGGCCCGAAACGCACTCCCAAACGGCCAGGACCCCGCAACCTGCCCCAGAACCCAATGCGCGCCAAAATGTTCATTGGCGCAACTGCGCGGGCTCGACGGCTGTCGGCGGCCTGGCATCACGAGGAGGAGCCCCAGGGAGCCCGTGGAGGGTCAAAGACGGCCCGAAGCCCACGCCGAAACGGCCCGGGACCCCGCGACCTGCCCCGAAACGCCACGCGCACCAAGACTTTCATTGGCACATCTGCGCAGGCTTGACGGCTGTTGGCGGCCTGGCGTCATGAAGAGCCCCACGGAACCCGTGGAGGACCAAAGAGGGCCCGGAACCCACTCCGAAACGGCCCAGGACCCCGCAACCTGCCCCAGAACCCGATGTGCACCAAGATTTCCATTGGCGCAACTGCGCGGGCTCGACGGCTGTCGGCGGCCTGGCATCGTGAGAAGGGGATCCAGGGATCCCGAGGAGGGCCCCGAGACGGCCCGACGCCCGCCCACTCCAAAACAGCCCAGGACCCCGCAACCTGCCCCAGGACCCCCATGCGCGCCAAGATTCTCATTGGCGCAACTGCGCGGGCCCGACGGCTCTCGGCAGTCTGGCATTGAGAGGAGCTCTGGAGAGACCGTGGAAGGCCCGCGACGGCCCGAAGCCCTCGACCGTGCGCGCGCCGAGACGCTCCAAGACGGCCCGCGACTGTGCGCGCACAGGGGAAGGCTGATCGTGCTGCTGCTGCTGCTGCTCCACGCTGGCAGTGCTGCCTCGAAGCCCCCCCCGATAATCAAGATATCAAGATATCGAGTTCCCGCCCGGCCCCGCCCCCGAGATCGAGGTATCGATATATCGGGATATCGAGATATCAAGTCCCCGCCCGGCCCCGCCCCCGATATCGAGATATCGAGATATCGAGATATCGGGATGTCGAGTCCACACCCGCGCCCCCCCCCCCCCCGATATCGAGACATCGATATATCGATATATCGAGTCCTCGCCCGGACCCGACCCCGATATCGAGATATCGAGTCCCCGCCCAGCTCCGCCCCCGATATCGAGAGATTGAGATATCGAGTCCTCCCGACCCTCGCCAGGACGCCTTGCGACCACAGTGCTCATCGCTGTCGCTCATGCGCGGGCGACGAGCTGTGGGGTCCACAGCTCATCGTCCTCGATTGTATCCTGCATGAGACTCAGGTACGGCTTGGACCAGTTCTGCAGCGAGCGGCGCTTCCCGCCCTGCTTCATGACCCCCCAGACGTCGAGGTGGTACCTGCCCGACGCGCGCATGCCATCCATGAAGGCAACCGCCCTCGCCCGGCTCATGTTGCCCCCCCTGGCGATGGCGAGGATCAGCGCCTGGTGAGCGTCGTCGGCCATGCGCCTGTCGCCGCAGACGTAGTAGTGGCAATCGGGCCTCTGGATCAGCTCCCATACCTCCTGCGCCGACTGGCGGAGCCCGTCGGTGACTAGGCGCTTCTCCACGTCTGGCTCCCTAGACAGGGACACGTCGTATGTCGTCAGCGCCGACACTTCGAGCGCCTCCTTGAACAGGCTGGCGTGAAGGGTCTCCGCGCTGCACCGATGGCCGGCGAAGAGCTGGGCCTTGCCGCACTGCCCGGCCGCGCCCTTCTGCGCGTGGTGAATGCGCTCCCGGACAAAGCCGGCGAAGGGCGCGACGCCCGTGCCGGCGCCGACCATGATCATAGGCGCCTCTAGCGATTTTGGCAGGTCGAAAGACGAGGCGAGCGCGGACACCCACACAGGGCTGCCCACCTGCAGCGAGTGTAGGTAGCCGGAGGCCAGCCCGCGGCTGCTGCCAACGCAGACGAGGCCCACGCAGAGCTCGACCACGCTGGGGCTGACCACGTTGCTGCTCGCGATGGAATACAGCCTCGGGAACTGCAAGGGCAGCGCGCCGAAGAGGGCGCCGAGCGTGATCTTGCCCTTCGCCCGTGGGAAGGCGCGTAGGAGGCTTGACAACCACCAGAACTGCTCGGCGACCATCTCGCTGTCCTGCTGCATTAGCTCCTGGTGCTCCTCTGCGGTCATGCCGCCGGCGTCCCGCACCATGCCCAGAATGCGCGGCAGGCTCGCCGGACGGACAGTGATGTTCAGGTGCCACTGCAGCGCGTCGTACAGCGTCGTCGGCTTGAACCCCAGCTCGGCCGGATACTGATCCTCCCCCTCCACCATGGTGGCCTCGAGCCTCGCGTGCAGCCTCTCCTCTTCGATACCCAGCTCCAGCGCGAGCCTCACGATCTCGTCGTGCGGGTTACGGGGCAGAACGCTGAGGTGACCGCCGGCGCGGTAGCTCATGCCATCGCAGCGCTAGATGTCGATGCGAATGCGCCGCGTAGACCGCCACTCCGAAGTGTTTGCCAGCAGCGGCGTGGACTCCACCACCTCCGCCCGCTTGTGGGCCCTCACCTCGCCAGGCTCAGAGGCCTCCGCAATGCCAACGCGCGGCTCCCCGAGCCTGACGGCGAGGCAGGACTCGACCGTGCCCGCCAGCGCTTGGCGCGGCTCTAGCTCGACGCGGAGGGCGCGCAGGAACTTCTGGAAATCCGCCGCTTGGTCTTTGCACTCGTCCGCCAGCACCGTGGGGACGAAGCACGCGGCCCCCGCTGCCTCCAGCGTCTTGCTCACCTTCTTGCCGAAGGCGCAGAAGCCGGGGTACATGGTGCTGCCCAACGCCATCACTGCGCACCTGATTGGCTGCCCGGTCTTCTTGCTTAGCAGCGGGAAAGGCAGGACGTCCGGGAAGGCGGAGCCGTTATGTGGGGCGGCGCCGTCGTTGAAGGTCGCGATGAAGCAGACGATGTGGGTGAACCTCTGGACCATCTTCTCGTCCAGAGCGTTTAACTCCATGACCCGCGGCCCGTAGGCCAAGCCGAGCTCCTTGGCCATGTTTCTGGCAAACTGCTCTGCGGTGCCCGTGGTGCTGGCGTAGAGAATCAAAATCTTGCGGGGGTCGTCCTGGAGGGGGCGGTCCTGGAGCGACTTGTGGCTCTTGGTCAGTTTGGAGCCCTCCAGGCCCGACGCGTCCTCCACTACCCACCTGTCGCAGTGGTAGTGGAACTGTGGGCGGAGGTAGAAGTCGCGCATCTCGTAATGCCACGCCGGGCAATGCACGCCGAGGAAGCCTCCGATCCAGCTCCACTGTGCAGGCACCTCTCGCCCGCACTGCTTCTCCCTGTCCACGTGGGTCAAGAACTGCTGGGAGCAAGTGTAATGGTCCACGATGCTGAACCGCGACTTCTGGAACGAGTGGGTCACCGCGGCGCTCATCTTCTGCAGAACCATGGCGCGCCAGCCAGAGGAATTCGAGCTGGTGTCGAAGCCGCAGATCTTGGCAACCTCTGGGCCCACGCCGTAGCGCTCAACCAGGTTCCGGGCGATCTCCAGGTCGACGAACCAGCCGTTGAAGGGGCAGCAGGGGTAGTCCACCCCGCCGATCCGCATGGTGAAGTTGTTGATTGCGGGGAGGGAGGTCCACTTCAGGCCCAACTTCGCGAGCTTGGGGTGCTCCGGGTGCGTGATGGGGATCTCGCAGAAGAGCTTGCGCGGGAGCTCGGGAACTGAACAACCTGCGGTAGGGGATCGAACTTTGTCCGCTTCGTCGGCGGCTTCCACCCAAACGTCTTCATCACCATCTCCGTGAACTTGACGTTGGCGGGGTCGCCCAGGACACTACCATCCTCCTGCGCGTAGCCGGCGTACCTACAGAACTGATGGTTCCAGAAGCGAATGCCCCACTGCTCGTGCGGCTTCTTGGGCGCGAAGATGGTCATCGTGGACTGCACGATGCCTCCTCCAGCGGCGACCTTCAGGTGTTCCTCGCACTCATCGAAGACCTGCTTTGCGCAGGTCACGTGCCTGCAATCGCGGATGACCAGCGTATCCCATGCGATTCGGCCAGGGCACTTCGCGGAGTTGCGCCAGGCCTGCCTGGCGCCGGCCTGCAACTCGTGGGTGGTGTGCCTAGTCTAGAATTAGAATTAGTCTCGATATCAATACTCCATAACAATACCCTGGCGACGTACCCAACCCCTGCGCAATGCGGGGCATGAGTCGCTTGGGAGACGTTATACGGAGGTAGTGACGTGACATGGGCGCATATACCTCTGCGAGCGGCATCCGTGAGGCTCGCAGCCCCCCAAGGATTGCGATGTCTCGCTCAGATCTGCCTGGTGCCTCGCTCCGCTGAACCCGCCACCAGCCTTCGAAAGTTGCGACGGTTTCGCAGATCGCAGCCCCCCAAGGACGGCGAGGCCCCGCTCAGATCTGCGCGGTGCCTCACTCCGCTGGACCCACCAGCAGCACTCGAAAGTGGGGACAATATCGCAGATCGCAGCCTCCCAGACACGGCGAGGTCCCGCTCAGATCTGCGCGGCGCCTCACTCCGCAGGACCCACCAGCAGCCCTCGAAAGTGGCGACAGTTTCGCAGATCGCAGCCCCCCAGGCACGGCGAGGCCCCGCTCAGATCTGCGCGGTGCCTCACGCCGCTGGACCCACCAGCAGCCCTCGAAAGTGGCGACAATTTCCAGATCGCAGCCCCCCAGGGACGGCGATGCCCCGCTCAGATCTGCGCGGTGCTTCACTCCGCTGGACCCACCAGCAGCCCTCGAAAGAAGCGACGGTTTCGCAGATCGCAGCCCACCAGGGACGGCGAGGTCCCGCTCAGATCTGCGCGGTGCCTCACTCCGCAGGACCCACCAGCAGCCCTCGAAAGTGGCGACATGTTTCGCAGATCGCCGCCCCTCCGCACGGCGAGGTCCCGCTCAGATCTGCGCGGTGCCTCACTCCGCTGGACCCACCAGCAGCCCTCGAAAGAAGCGACAGGTTCGCAGATCGAAGCCCCAGGGACGGCAAGGTTCCATAAAATAGCAGACTAAAATTATTCCCTGCGTGGAGCTCCCCATATGTGCATCTTTTTTCAAGGACGCTTCCGCCGTGAGTGTCTATGCGCATGTTTTGTAAGCCAGCTTGATGTATAAACGGGATTTCATATGGTTGAGTGCGAGTGTCAATTAGTCTAGGTATGCGAGAGTCTGAGTACGAGTGGGTCCGAGAATGCGTAGGTCAGACTATGAGCGAGTCTGAGTGAAAGTGGTTAGAGTGTGGGTAAGTCTGGGTGTGAGTGGGTCTGAGCGTGAGTCTAATGGGTACGAGTCTAAGTCTGAATGGGTGTGGGTACGAGTGAGCCTGACTACTGGTGAATGGTTGGGTCGGAGTTTGAGTGGTTCTGGGTGTGCAAGCCTAAATGCGAGTGAGTCTGAGTATGAGTATGATGCGTAGGAGTCTGAGCCTGAGTGGGTCTGAATACGAGTGAGTCTGACTACGAGTGAGCCTGAGGGTGGGTGAGTCTAAATGTGAGTGAGTCTGAGTGTGCGTGAATCTGAGTGTGAGTGCCCTCCTCCTACTCCTCCGTCCCCTTCCCCCAATCATCAAGACAATCATCATGATCATCATCATCATCATCATCATCATCATCATCATCATCATCATCATTGTCGTCATCATCATCATCAGCATCATCAGCATCATCATCACTCTCACCATCACCATCATCATCATCAGCAACAGCATCATCATCATCATCAGCATCATCATCATCCTCCTCTTCATCATCATCATCAGCAGCATCATCATCATCGTCGTCATCGTGGTCGTTGCCGTCGTCATATCCATCATGAATTGGCGTGAGTCTAAGTGTGAGTGTCCCCCTGCTCCTCCTCCTCCTCATCCTCCTCCCCCTCCCCCCATCATCATCGCGATCATCCTCATCATCATCATCATCAGCAGCAGTAGTAGCAGCATCAACATCAACATCATCATCATCATCATCATCATCATCATCATCATCATCATCATCATCATCATCATCGTCATCATCGTCATCATCGTCATCATCGCCATCATCGTCATCATCGTCATCATCGTCATCATCCTCACCATCATCATCATCATCATCATCATCCTCATCATCCTCATCATCCTCATTGTCGTCGTCGTCGTCGTCGTCGTCGTTATCGTCGTCATACCCATCATGCTGGTGTTCGTGGGGCCTCCTGGTGCTTCCTGGGGCTTCCTGGACCCTCTTGGGGACTCCCGGGGCCTCCTGGAGCCTCCTGGGGCCTCCTGTGGCCTCCTGTGGCATCCTGACACCTCCTTGCTCTTCCTGTGGCCTCCTGTAGCCTCCTGGAACCTGCCCGAACCTCCTGTGGCAGCCGAAGATCCGTCCCCACGAGTCTGGCCAGATAAGTAAGCAAACCGCTCGAGACATCCTCAAACTCTGCCCCCCCTTGGGGGCGCAAATGAGCGCCTCGCTCGAGACATCCTCCAAATCTGCTCAGAAAGAGAAGGATGTTGAATCGCGAAACAGGCAAACCGCTCGAGACGTCCCCGCAACTTGGCGCCACCGAAGGAGCGCAACACCCCTGGATGCTCACTGTTGGGGATGCTGAAGCCCGCGCCTCGCTCGAGACATCATCGTAATTCTCCGCCATCATCATCGTCATCATCATCATCATCGTTATCATCAGCATCATCATCATCATTGTCATCGTCATCGTCATCATCGTCATCATCATGATAATCATCATCAGCAGCAGCATCAGCATCAGCATCAGCATCAGCGACATCATCATCAGCATCAGCATCATCAGCATCAACATCAACATCAGCACATCAGCATCATCAGCATCATCATCACCATCATCATCATTACTATCATTATCATCATCATCATCATCATCATCATCAGCATCATCATCATCATCATCGTTATCATCATCATCATCAGCAGCAGCATCACCATCAGAACCATAGGCAAATCGCTCGAGACATCCTCAACACCTGCCCCACCTTTGGCGGCGAACATGAGCGCCTCGCTCGAGGCATCCTCCAACTCTGCTCCGAAAGCGGGGGATGTTGAGTCGTGAAACAAGCAAAACGCTCGAGACATACATCCCAATCATTCTGGCGCGAACGGAGGAATGCAATATTCCCTGGCGGTTCCACCTTGGGGGTGCTGAACCCGCGACTCGCTCGAGACATCCTCAGAATTCGTTCCGCCAGCATCATCATCATCATCAGCATCATCATCGGTATCATCAGCATCATCATCATCTGCATCATCATCATCATTATCATCAGCATCAGCATCAGCATCATCATCAGCATCATCATTATCAGCATCATCATCATCATCATCATCATCATCATCATCATCATCAGCATCATCATCAGCAAAATAGGCAAACCGCTCGAGACATCCTCTAAATCTGCACCCCCCCTTGGGGGGCGAAAACGAGCGACTCGCTCGAGAGATCCTCCAAACCTGCTCCGAAAGCGGAGGATGTTGAGTCGCGAAACAAGCAAAACGCGCGAGACATCCCCTCCATTGTGGCGCGAACGGAGGAATGCAATACCCCCTGGCGGTTCCCCCTTGGGCTGAGATCCGCGCCTCGCTCAAGAAATCCTCAGAACTTGCTCCGCCATCATCATCACCACCATGATCATCATCACCACCATGATCATCATCACCACCATGATCATCATCATCAGCATCATCATCAGAAGCAGCATCATTATGATCATCATCAGCATCATCATCACCATCGTCATCACCACCATCATCATACCATAACATGACGTAGCGTGACGTAACACATCATAACACAACATTACATGACACAATATAGCATACATGCCATTACATGACCATGCCATTACAACATATCAGATCATGACACAACATTACATTACATGACCATGCATAACAGGCCATACCGTACCATACCATACATGCCATACAATTACCATACCATACCATACCATGACACACCATTCCATAACAATATTCACTGCGCGGAGCTCCCCAGATGTGTATATGCTAGCATGGACCTGTCCGCCGTGAGCGTCCAGGTGCAAGAGTTTTCGAATATGAACTTGCTTGAGTATTGACGGTCTGGGAGCGAATCTAACTGTGAATGGGTTGGATTGTGAATGAGTCTCAATGACATTAGTGCGCCTCTGCGCATGAGCCTGGGACCTCCTGGGGCCTCTTGAAACCTCCTGGGGTTTCGTGGTGCCTCCTGGAGCCTCTTGGGGCCTCCTGGAGCCTCTTACGGCTTCCTGTGGCCTGGAGGCCTCCTGGAGCCTCGTGTGGCCTCCTGGGGCCTGCCGGAGCTTCCTGGGGCCTCCTGGGGAGGATTCGTGCCCCAAAATGAGCCCCAATATATATATATATATATATATATATCGTTCTATATTTACATATAGAGATATAGGAGCAGGCGTAAAACACTTGGGATTGGAGCCACAGGAGAGGGGCAAATCTACAGGAACACATGTAAAGCACCAAGGACTCGCGCCCCAGGGCAAGCCTAATCGGTAGGAACATACGTAAAACACTTAGGAGTGGATACACAGGAGGAGGACCTGTGGCCTTCTGAGGCCTCCTGCTCCTGGGGCTTCGTGGGAGTTCCTGGAGCTTTCCAGGGCCTCCTGTTGCGTCCTGCCGTTTCCTGCCGTTTCCTGTGGCCTCGTGTGGCCTCCTGGTGCCCCCTGGAGCATCCTGGGGCCTCCTGGAGCCTCCTGGGGCCTCTTGGTGCCTCCTGGGGCCTCCTGGAGCCTCCTGTGCCCAGCAAAACAAGCAAACCGTTCGAGACACCCTCGCAATCTGGGCCCCCTGGGGTGCGCAAGCCAACGCCTCGCACGAGACATCCTCGAAATCTGCTCCTAAAACGGAAGAGATTGAGCTGGTCAACAAGCAAACCGCTCGAGACATCCCCGCCATTCTGGCGCGAACGGGAGCCGTGCAATAGTTCCTCGTTGGGAGTGCTGAAATCCGCGCCTCGCTCGAGACATCCTCAGAATCTGCTCTGAGCGCAGGCGAGCCTGGCCTCCAAAACAAGTGAACCGCTCGAGACATCCTCGCCATCTTGGCGCGAACGGGAGCCGTGCAATACCCCCT